GTTTTTCATTTGGAGTGCTTGAGGATGTGCTGTCCAGAAGACAGTTTAAGAGAGAGTCCCTAAAAATATAAGGCCATTGGCTTTTAAATAGTGTCCGGCTGTCAGGATGGCTATTGCCTAGCTACTTAGCTCCAAGAGGAAAAACGCAGTGTGAAATACAGGCTCTCACACCTCACCCCAAAACAGCTGAGAGACCTTGTTGCTTAAGAATTTCAGTTTGCAACTTTTCTCTTGGCCACAAGGCGCCATGAACAGCAGTTATCAGTGGCAAAATGGACAACAGGAATAGATCCTAAATACAAATTACTTAGAATAATAAATGGATAATTAGCACAATATTTTGAATGTGCTGGAAAGTCTTTGAATATAATGGTTAATCAATTTTTAATCCCATTTTTTTATATTTTAACAAGCAGGCTGTTATCATTGCTATAATCATACAATCATGACTCAGGCTAGAAAGCAGAGTTCTCATTTCCTGGGAATCTTCCTTCTGCAAAATGCCCTGACAGCTTACCAGTGGCCTAGTCTGTTGGGTTACACTTTTCCCTTCCTCTGCTCCACAACCCTGCAGCTTTGGCAGGTCAAGGGGACTAGACCTTTGAGGGCAAAGTGCTTTTGCACCTCCAGTTCTTCAGTAGCTCCCTGAAACTAATTTTTGAACCCACTTACAGAGATGTATGCGAGACAAACTGTCATAGTGTTACCTCTCATTGCTCTTCTTCTCCCAGCCTAAGCCAATGCCAATCATGACACACTACTACCCACTTGGGCAAGGCTTGGCCTCTCCCCACACATGTCAGGGATGCTGAGCAGCTAATTACACAGCCAGACAGGTACCAATAGGAGCACTGAACCCTGCTCTGGCACCCAGATGGGGTGCTGCCACCTCAGAGGCCGCTCACCCCGCTGTGCCCTCCTGCAGGCTGTGGCGGCTCCGAGGCCGAGCATCGGCTCTACGCGGCCCTCTTCAAGAGCTACAACCAGTTCGTCCGCCCCGTCAAGAACGTCTCGGACCCCGTCATCATCCAGTTCGAGGTGTCCATGTCCCAGCTGGTGAAGGTGGTGAGTACCCACCCTGACGGGGTGCCCGAGGCAATGGGAGGACCCGAGCTGCTCCAAACACCCCTCTCTTTTCCAGGATGAAGTCAACCAGATAATGGAAACGAACTTGTGGCTGAAGCACGTAAGTAGAGCTTGCTGACAACGCACACCGACCCACCTCCTTCCCAGCGCGGGAAGAGCCGTCCGCGGGCTCCCGGGAGCACCGGGCTCTCCAGGCCGCCCTCCCTGGGGCAGGGCACGGCACAGGCCCCGGGGCTCCATCGACGGCCGCCCCCCTCAGGGCCGCTCTGCCCGGCGCGCTGCTGCCCCCTAGCGGCGGCGGGACGCCTGAGCGGCCGGGCCCCGATCCCCGCCCTGGGGCAGCTCCCGCCCCGGGCAGCGGGAGGCCAGAGACACCGCCATCACCGGCCCTTCTGCCTCACCCCTGCGGGTGCCGCAGCGTTTAAATACGGGCCTGACTCGGGGCGTTAAACTCGGGTTGTGGGCCGCCAGCTGCAGCCCCAACCCTCCCAGGCGGCGTATAGCCCCTACATGCTGTGCTGCTGCTCAGAAGCCTCCCGAAGGGACTGCCCTGGCAGCCACTGGCGCACAGAGGACGCAGCTCGGACCAGAGGCTCTGCACAGCATCCCTTTGCACTGTCACCTCTCGGAAACTGAGAGCAAACCAAAAATGTTGGCTTCACTTAAAAGGGGCTTTAGGCGTTAAAAATGCAATTACTCCCTGTTGTAGTCAGCTTAATAACCAACTTAATCCCTGGTTTCAGCTTAATATTCAACTTGGTTAAACTGGGGTTTAACGAGCCCTAGTGACCAATGCTGTGACACCCTGCAGCTCTCTCTAACCCAACATCACACCCAGCACCAGAGCCTCCCCTCCATTTGTTTTCACCATCTCACAGACATCTGTCTTTTTGAGACCTAAATTAGCTGATTAAATCCTAACATGCTCTGGCAAGAGAGTGTCATTCCCTCTTTCACCTCATTGCAGCTACTGAGTAGACATTCTTGGGACATGGAGTCACACACATCTAAGCCATATCCAGACCAACAATCTCCACGTGAATAAACACCAGACATACATGTTTGTAAGGAAACATCTAATCATTGATAGTACCCAAAATAAAACAACCCTCAAAGTGATACGATAGCATTTGGTTTGAGCCTAGTCCACTGAATTTCGATTTCCTCACAAACCTAACACAGACTCATTTCTTCCACGATCAGATCTGGAACGATTACAAGCTTCGGTGGAATCCAGCGGACTATGGAGGTGCCGAATTCATCCGAGTACCATCTGGCCAGATCTGGAAGCCAGATATTGTTTTATATAACAAGTAAGACTCTTGCGTATTTATCTTCTTAACTCAGGAAGAAAGAAGCTGATGTTACTAGTTTAAAAACAACAATCAGCAGCAGGTTCACTGCATTAACTGAAAAAATCCTGCTTTTCAGCACACCCTTGTCCCACACCTCCCTATTGCTGTACTCTCCTCCATGCCATCTACATCAGCATCACTGGGCAGGAGCCAGCTCCCAACCTGGAGCTGAGAGTGAGCAGTTCCAAGTGAACTTTGCTCCTCCCCTGCACAAGCCCCCGCTTTTACTATTATTTTTACCACTGTCTACACAGAAAGTGGCAAGAAATTCCCTTAGACTGAAGAGTTCTTGTCTGAGTCAGACCTTTAACTGAAAAAACCTGCAAATTCTAGCTTTTTAGCAGTTACATTGTGTCAATTTGACACATTTTGACACAAAATGTGTCAATTTGACACATTTTACAATAATAATGTTGACATATAAAAGCCACAGGTGAAGTTTACTTTGGTTGTCAGTTTCTGAGACTGTGAGAAGCCAAACCATGACTAAAGGTATCCTTCTGCTCTGCAGGGAAGTAGCTCCACTGAAATGGAGTTAGATACCCCGAACTTAGGAGTAACCAAAACTTAGGTCTATGGAACAACAGCAATGATGCACCTTTTCTAACTGTGGCCTTAAAATTTTAAATTACCTTTTTAGTTTTTTCATATAAACAACTGAAATTGTCACATGGATCTTATCTATCTGTTATACTTAACAAAAACCTCACCAAAGACACTTCCTATGCAGACGCACCCCAGCCTCTGCTCTGCAGGGAAGTAGCTCCAGTGGAATGGAGTTAGAAACCCCGAACTTAGGAGTAACCAAAGCTTAGGTCTATGGAACAACAGCAATGATGCACCTTTTCTAACTGTGGCCTTAAAATTTTAAATTACCTTTTTAGTTTTTTCATATAAACAACCGAAATTGTCACATGGATCTTATCTATCTGTTATACTTAACAAAAACCTCACCAAAGACACTTCCTATGCAGACGCACCCCAGCCCTAATCCCTCTTTCCATAGCCACTACCTGCACTGTTCAGACGAGGTGGAAACACCAGTACTGCAGGTATCCTCTTATCAGCCCCTGGGTTCTGAGGTGCTTCATCTAGAACAGAATAAAACAGTTCAGTTGGAAGGGACCTACAACCATCATCGAGTGGGACTGCCATTTGCAATCTCCTGTTTGCTGTTTTGAATTTGATTGCACTGAGCCATGTTATTATAAGGCAGAATATTTTTCATATCCTCCATAAAAAAATTTATACAGCTGTTTATTTCAGTTTAACTGTGCAAATTTATGACAGATGCTGACTTAGTCCTGCACATGCAATTCAGCTTCATGTCAACAAGTAATTGTTGACTTTCCCCAAACAGATTAAAGAGTTAATGTATATGATCTAAATGTATGAAACTACCTGGAGTTGTTGCATTCTAATTTTTGTTATTTTTATTTGCTTTACAGTGCAGTTGGGGATTTCCAGGTTGATGACAGGACAAAGGCCCTATTAAAATATACGGGTGATGTGACCTGGATACCGCCGGCTATCTTTAAAAGCTCATGTAAAATAGACGTAACCTACTTTCCATTTGACTATCAGAACTGCACCATGAAGTTTGGTTCCTGGTCTTATGATAAAGCCAAAATTGACTTAGTTTTAATTGGCTCTACAATGAACCTGAAAGATTACTGGGAGAGTGGAGAATGGGTTATTATTAAAGCTCCTGGGTACAAACATGACATCAAATACAACTGCTGTGAAGAGATATATCCAGACATCACATATTCTCTTTACATCAGGCGTTTACCTTTATTTTACACTATCAATATGATTATTCCATGTCTGCTGATTTCTTTTCTGACTGTACTAGTTTTCTATTTGCCTTCGGACTGTGGTGAGAAGGTGACGCTCTGCATATCAGTCCTTCTATCTTTAACAGTGTTCCTCCTTGTTATCACAGAAACCATACCTTCTACTTCCCTGGTAATTCCCCTTATTGGGGAATACCTCCTTTTCACCATGATATTTGTAACTCTATCTATTGTCATTACGGTGTTTGTACTTAACGTGCACTACAGAACACCCAAGACACACACAATGCCTGTGTGGGTGAGAACCATTTTCTTGAACTTACTTCCCAGGATCATGTTTATGACAAGGCCTGCCAGCAACGAGGAGAATAACCAGAAGCCAAAACCCTTCTTCACTTCTGAGTTTTCAAACTTAAATTGCTTCAACAGTTCGGAAACCAAATGCTGCAAAGATGGCTTTGTATGTCAAGATGTGGCGTGCAGCTGTTGTCAGTATCAGCGAATGAAGTTCTCGGATTTCAGTGGCAACCTTACAAGAAGTTCAAGCTCTGAGTCTGTAGATCCTCTGTTTTCATTTTCAGTTCTGTCACCAGAAATGAGAGATGCTATCGAAAGTGTTAAATACATTGCAGAAAATATGAAAATGCAGAATGAAGCAAAAGAGGTAAGAACATATTTTACTATTACACAAACTGCAGGTAGCATTGTGCCATTAGTGTATTTTGTAAGAAAAAATGATCTCAAAAAAACCCCACACCCCTCAGAAAAAGAAAAAAAGGACAACACAACACAGACCATTATTTTATACTAGTAAATTACCCAAGCTGTTTTACAGACATGTGCAATTTTGAATGTAGGTAATTTTGGGGAGCAGCTTTGTTGCACAATATTGTCTTTATTGACAACACATATGCTGAGTGAAGCAAGTTAAGGCAACCAGTGCCAAGGAAACATACCTGAGTAGCCGTCCTATGAGATTCAGAGTGAGGATACTCCAAGTTATAACCTTAATAGTGGAATTTGCCGACTCTAAGCTTTTAGAGTCTCCCTCTCACAGTTTACTGTCAATAACAGAGTGTAACAATGAACATCCTTCACAGTGATGAGATTGCTTATTCTTCTGCTGCTGCTGAGTAAAGTGCTGTAGCTAAATGAGACAACTGCTGCAAGATGGGGTCCATCACCTTTCATAAAACTGCATCTTGATGTAATAAAAAAAAAAGTAATTAACATTTTCTTCTTATCATGTTCCTCAAACATAGTAAGAGCAGTAGCCACACCACCACAATGATCACTGAATTTAAATCCTCTGAGGATGGCACTTAAAGCTCTGTTTCACCATAACCAAAATAACTTCATTTTAACTTTATTTAGAATTACTTGGTATAGAAAATCTGGAGTTGTTTTGGGTTTAAGTCTGCCTAAACAAACAAGCTGTAAGCTAAAAAGCGCAAAATTTCAAAACCAACAAATGCATTATTCATTTATATGCATGACAACAATCAAATTTGAGTACTATGTAAGAAGCATACCAAAAAATTATATACCAATTAACCTTCGTTGTTTTACATACTGCCTAAAGACCAGTAGGAGCAGTCTGTTTCAGTAAAGTTTTCTGGACAAAGCTGATCACTTAAGAATGTAAGGCTTTTCACTTTCATTTTTAGCACACAGAAGAGAAGTCATATCTCATGAAGTCCAGTGTCTAGGTGAATGACTTTTTGTATTTGAAGAAGTAGCTTTTGGCTTTGCCACAAATAGCATATTCAAATAAAGCTTCTTCAAGACGAATTAATGTGTTAATGAAAACAGAGATATGCAAGTTGTGCATATATGAAAGACATATGGAAAAAAACTGTGCTTCCCGTATAAAATAGTACTAATTGCTACTGCAAGTTACTCATCTAATAAACATGCCTACTTGCTATTCATTTATTTTTCAGATTCAGGATGACTGGAAATACGTTGCCATGGTAATCGATCGTATTTTTCTATGGGTTTTCATCCTGGTATGTATTCTAGGAACAGCAGGATTGTTTCTACAACCTTTGATGGCTGGAGATGAAATGTAAAGATTAAATAGTAAGCTGTGAAATCAAATAAAACTTTTGCCAACCAACTCTGCACCCCCACCCCAGCACCTGCTCTCTCTTGTGTGTAGTAGAATAAGAATCCCTCTCGGCCTCAAGTGTGCTTGACCAAGGCTTTGTTAAAAATGTGAAAACGTGAAAAAAAAATAGTATTTTGAACCTTTATGACAGCTAATCTCAAAGTAATATGAGCTATGCTTGACAGCTACTTTTTACAATGACTGGAAAAGATGTAGGTAGTAATTAAACTTTGTAGGAATGGTTTAAGAAGGGGTTGATAAAGGAACTGAAGATTACATGAATATTTGGAAAGACATCACAGGTTGAATACTTTGGGCTACTAGATTTGTTTCCACGAGTCTGGTGCAAAGTCTCTTCAGATCATAACAGAATGTTCTGGGAATAAGTTCATTCTGAGCTCAATGAATGCCCTCATGAGGATGAAATATTTAGGAAGCACACATACCAAATTGCTAGAATTGCAATGCAGACATTGCCACCTGGTGTATAAACTGACTCAAACAGTGGGAGGAAAGGACCATGGGCGGGTTTCTTACAAAGAGAAAACAAATAGGTAAATAATAGATGATGATAAAGCAACATAATGTAAACTCTGTGCATCCCAATATCCCAATGTATGAGAAGACTGTCAGAGAAAACAAGCTATTCAAACCTAATAATGTTTAAAACTGTGTACAAGTAAGACACACACTAAGATGCAGTCTGCAGGTTATGCAAAGGATCAAAATACTTTGGTAGGATAATGTGGGTACAGAAGCATCCTGTTACAGTGAATTGTTTTATGGCAGGAGAAGGCACGCAGTGTCAAGTACGCTAAAACTGCTTCTTAGGCATACTTTATTTTTTTTTAATCAGTAACTGCAGATAATTTAAGAGCATGAATAAAGAATGCAACAAAATACTGTAATGAGAAAGCATTTTGTAAAAATATAAACTGTTCTCTCTGTACCAAACTTTTTGGAAATACAGTGTATCAAGTGATGTAACATGTAAGAAAATAAAGAGAATCAAGCTGTTCAAAATTGTGCGCTTTTTTTCCATTTATTTTGACCGAGTGACAAAAACCTATATGAAGTAGCATAAGCTACAGCTCAACACATTCAGAAACAAGTTACATAAGAAAGGTCCACGCTTCTGCGCCTATTAAAATTATTTTGTTTCAGACACAGCTGACGATAAGCTGAAGACCCCAAGGATTCTAGCATCAGCTATCTTATCTGTGTTTATCATGATCAGATTGTAGAAATGACTAAAAGAAATCCATGCATTTGCAAAAAATGTGAGTTACCAGTATAAGGAGTGGGACTCCATTGTCCAATATACTGCCAATCACCTTACGACGGGCAGTCTACAGACATCATTTAACAAGGGGAAAGAGATGAGCTAATTTATACTTTTACTTACTTTGCTCTCTGTTCAGGTCAGAGTAAACTTCAGTAACTCAAACCCAAGGAGAACTATAAAAAGAAATTTTGCATTTGAAGAGGAAATAAGATATCTAAAGTATTTCTGCAGCTTCCACACAGATAAAGTCACTGAAGCATTGTTTAATCTTAGTAATAATGATGGAGTTAAAATTATGATATTAATGGATTAAATCAGATAAACTCTGCAAATTCACCTTTAAAATTAATTATGACAGGAATAGAGGAAATATGGATATCCAGTGCCAGATGTAACTGCATAAGTGAAGAGAAAGAGTGACTCCCTTCACAATCAGAATTATTTATAAACCGGTATTAAAAGAAAAAAGGCTTGCCTGGCATCATTTCCCTGCCTGTTCACTTTAAAAAGCTACACAAACCCAAGAATGTCCTATAGGTGAAAACAATTTTAAATAAATACTAAATTATATATAAGTTATGACACAAGCAATCAGTATTATAGTCAGTACACTGCCAAACAGTGCTATTCTATAGGAGATACGAGGTGGGGTGGGAGGGAGGAATAAGTATCCATTTTCCAAATTCATAACCACTATAAAAACTTATATTAGCAAAGATACCACAATTTACACTAAACCTCTCATCTAAATATGTTACTATTTATGCAGTCATTTAAGCAAATAAAAACTTCCCAAGACCTGCTTTATCTTGGCATTACTGTATTAGCCCTGCAGGATGCAACTACATTATGCAATACACTCATAAAACTTTGGTGTAGGAAAACCCCCACCTATTTTAGAGTCTCTACCAGAAATAAAGCTTTTAAGAAAGGTGGCATTTATGTTTTGATAGAGTAATTTAGAAGTTGCAAGTTAGTTTTTAACACGTATAGAAAGCTGTAAGTCCTCGCTGCTTAGAGTCACATACAGTTCTATAAGCAAGAGAATCTATTAAAGGTAGCTTTCTAAGTTCAGTGTACCAAATGTGTGCAAACTTAATCATCTGTATTTGATTACAAAATTTAATTCTGAGAAACAAACAAAGGCAGGAAACAATTACCATGTTTGCAACTAACATACTATATCAAATTCTCCATCAAGAATAAAGCAAGCTAAATGTTCCGGTCCATTAGAATACTTGTGCAACTTGGGAACTCATTTAATTCTCTTTGCTTTCCTTTCCATAGCTTAGATATTGAGATATTGATATACATATATCCTTTAGGCATTTTAAGGCTTACTGTATTAAATGTTCATGTTAGTATGATAGAATTAACAAGGTTTTAAATTTAGCAGCAAATCACACTGAAAATATATAAAGGCAAACCATAGCCAAATAGCTATTTTTACTTATATGTTAAATATATAGGACGTTTAACTGGTATTTTTATTATTATTTTAAATTTACTCTGTAGAAACTTTATACTTCTACAATACATTCAAGAGAGCGGATTAAAATTCTCCTTTGCATACTATAGTAAATTGAAATAAGCAACTCTACTGTGTACCTGCAAATATTTAATAGTCAATATCATCATTTACATAGCAATGTAATAATCAGACTACAGTGATCATCACTAAAAAACTTTAAATCCTTCGATTTCACAGTAGGTGTCAGTGTATACTTTTTTGACATATCATACATGCAAGTGTTTGAGAAGGTCCTTTTAATTCTGACCTGATTTAGAAGTAACTTAGCAGACTGGCAATAAGCAAACTGATTTCTATGTGTCCTACAGATGCCAAGCTTTAATATAAACATAATTTTCTGGTTTGGGATTTTTTTTTTTTTTTTTTTACTCTATCAGAAACATGCCTACAAAGAACGTGCATGGAAATAGAGCTACTGCAAAACTCCTTAGAGCTGTATTAGCAGCAGATAGATCCAAAAATGTTTTATGCATTTGTACTGCCTATATGTGTAGGTACTATTATACTTGCCCATTTATGAATAACAGGAATAAATAACACAAGCGATCCAATAATTGAAACCAGAAGAAAAGCCCATAAGAACATTCGATCAAGCACCTGAGCAATAAATTTCCAGTCTTCAACAACCTAAAAAACAAAGAGCGTAAGAGTTGGTCAGTATGTGCAAGAACAGGTAAAAATACAGTACCAAACCCTGCAATTCTTAATTGCTTTAAAGCAGACTTTTTTCCAATTGGGTCCATTTGGTAACCCCCTTTAATAACTTCTTATAATTACACTATAAGCTGCAACAGGAACAAACTTTCCCTCTAAGAAGATTGGTAAGCTATTTAGACCCATACTAGATTTTAATGCAGAAACTGACCCTGAGAAGCACTGAACAGAGACTAAATTGGTATGCAAATTTCTAACATACTGCAGGATTTAGGATTCATGCCACAGCCTCATCATAAAGTGGCATTTCTGGGAAGGAGCTACAAGGAAAAGCCTCTGGCTGGGACACACACACACACACGACACAACCCCAAACCCCAAAATCTCAACCCCTCCCCCCTCAAAACCAAAGCCAAAACCACCCAAACCAAAACAACAACAAAAAAAATAACAGTAGACAGCAGCTGTTGTGGCTGTGAAGTTACTGCTGCACAGAACTCAACCCCTCAAAACCAAAGCCAAAACCACCCAAACCAAAACAACAACAACAAAAAAAATAACAGTAGAAAGCAGCTGTTGTGGCTGTGAAGTTACTGCTGCACAGAACTACACACTAGGGTGAATACTGACTGTGCTTTCAAGATTATTTTCCTTGTTGGAATTACTCACATCTGTACACAGTTTTGCAAGTATAGCAGATAAAACTGTGAGAGCAAACTAAAATCCTGCTGAACAATCCTATCCTGTCTTTGATTTGAGCTGGAGCTATCCACATTTTCCAAGCCTACTGCTTCCTAAGAGGCAAGGCTACAACAGAACTAACTGTGTAGTTTTAATTAACAACTTTTTCAATTAAAGCTCGCATTCTCTGGATCCCAAATAACAAAACACAAGTGAATCCCCACTCAGCTCTATATTAAGTTCTGAGGTTTAGAGTAACAACATTACACCTGAAAAACAAAATACTTATCACCTCTTTTGTCACTCACAGTCAAATAGAGAAAGTACACTAAACACCAACCCTTGATTTACAGGAAATTACGCCTTTAACAGCAAACTATTCTATTTGTGTTGTTTATACAATGCAGAGGTATTAGATGCTGTTTTAACAATACAGTAGATACCTGTATTAAAAATCTAGACTGGATCCCTTATGATAATGTCAGAGTCAAGTCCGAATAAGGTACATGAGAGAAGTTAGCTTACTCCTAGCTAAGTTAGAAGCCACCCTACTCCTAGACTAGCATCTGAGAACACGCTCTCAGCAACTGATAACTTTTGAAGACAGTAATTTCTGTATAAATTAAAAAAAATTCAGGCCTTGCCATCAGAAACAGATAGCCGTATCATGAGACCATACAGCACACTTCTATATTTCTACATTCGCCTGAAAATAGCATTTCCGCCTCTAATGTTCCAATGGTGCTAGTTTAAAAAGCACAGAAAGAAAAAGGATTCATAATGATCTTACCCAAATGGTGTAAATATCCATTAAGGATAGTTCAGAACTGAAAAAAGCCTTTGACATCTTTTGATATAATTTAGAGACAAATAATAATAAAGCTAGAAGAGAACATCCAAGAAGGCACCTAGGCCATGTTTGATCTCAGCATAAAATGACTAGCGTACAGCCATAGTTTGTATTCAAACTAATACAAGTTAGAGCATTAAAAATTGTTTTTATTTGGAGTTAAAAGCTGCAAAATAAGGCTTAGCAGTATTTGTTCTGAAAATGTAAGGCAATGCATTTTTCAGATAGCCTTCAGGTACAACATTAAAATGAAAAACACCTACTTCTCTCAGCAGCACTGTAGGGAACAGTTACGGTACATGCTCTTGTAACAGACAAGTATCTCTGAGAATGTACAACTAATAATATGCACTTCTACTAGAAAGCAAAAAGCTTTAAGAACCCAAGGACTGTATTTTATCAGCCCAGTATCTCTAAGAATTCTCAGCATTGTACCATACTTGTACTTCTTTCCAGTGGAAATAATTACATGGCTTCCCGTCAGGCGAAGAATTGGAAATCCCATAGCACACATTTAATACGCAACTGCTTAGCAAACCATTTCTTGGTTTTCTAATTTCCAGTTTTACAAAATCAGCACAATATGACTAACACACCCACCTCACGAACTTCATTCTCCTTCATAACATGCCTTGTAATATATCGGATAGAATCTAAAGCTGCTTCCAAGGTGTTCCTAGATGATTCTGATCCATTTGTATTTCCCGTTTCCTCCTTCTGAGCAAAGTACCTGTCTACATGACTTCTCATGCAGAGCAGCTTGGGAAGTTTGTGAAGAAATATCTTGCGAACCCAAGGTGCCATAGCGTTGTGTGTAGAGGAAGAGCGATGATGAATATTGATAGCAAAGACAGTTATCACAATGGACAATGTCACAAATATCATAGTAAACACCAAGTACTCTCCTATAAGTGGGATAACTTTAGAAGATGATGGAATAATCTCTTCAATAACTAGAAGAAAAACAGTCAAAGATACCAGTACTGAAGTGCAAAGTGAAATTTTTTCACCTTCATTTGAAGGCAGATAGAAGACAAGGACAGTTAGAAACGAAAGCCCAATACAAGGAATAATGAGAAACAACGTGTAAAAAAGTGGCAAACGTCTAATTATAAATGAGTATGTAACAAAAGGATACCAGCAGCATCCATCAGTCCTATTTCCTTTGCTCCCTGTTGCAGTCACTATTTCCCATTCTCCATTATCAAAAAAGTCCCTTTTGTCAACATCATAATCTTCAAGAATTAGATCAACCTGTGAGCCATCGTAAGTCCAGGAACCAAATTTCATAGAGCAATTTTGGAGGTCAAAGGGGAAGAAGGTTACATCAATAGTACAAGAACTTTTGTAGTTTGCTGGTGGAGTCCAAGCAATGGTGCCATCGTATTTCACCACAGTTTTTGTAGGTGTTCCCTCAAAACGTCCATCTGCACTGAAAGAAAATGAATATATGCATACAATTACAATGGATGTGTGTTTTTAAACATAAAAATATGGGTTTTTATTGTCACGTCAGCTGTTTATCCGCTTTCCCCTTCATAGCCAAAACTTTATATTATGTTAATAGTCAACATTTTTTTTTTTTCTGTTAAAACCGAATCTCACACAGGTAAACAGCTTTGGAAGGGTGAAGAATATTTTGAAGTCATTAAAAGATCTGTGCAACTTTCTGTGGTCCAGTGACTTATGAAAGGATTGTAAAAATCCTGACCTTTAGCAGCATGACCAAGCTCGTGTGTTTCTATTGGTAATACAGCATAAATACCTTTCAATTTGGCCAAGTTATAATTATTGAAGAAACAAAAAAGTCATGAAACAGGTAAAATAATATTTGTGTTCTGCCTCCAAGCTTGAATTTACAATCACTGCAACAGCTTTTTTTCCTGACTCAACAAGTCAGGAAATGTAAAAGCATTATATATGCACCCAAGTTGAGCAGAAGGTTAATTCAGAAGTTATTGCTTCTGAGGTCTGTTAATTCTCAAAAAAAACCCAATCAAAAAACCAACAAAAAGCCTTACAGTTGAGTGTACGTAATTTTAAATTCATGCTGAATATGGCTTAGAACAGCATGAATTAGTTATTTCCCTCCCGTCACTCTACACTAGTAGTTTGTGCCCAGCACCGTGCAAGACATTGTTTTGTAATTTAAAAAAAGAGTTAACATGAAGAAATGGAAATAAACTCTTCAAAGATACTAATAGCTCCACACAGATGTAAAGCACTTAAGCAAAATCCATCTGCACTCAGAGGCAAATTCTTCCACACATTCTTAGCTCTACTAAATGTACATGCACATCTATCCAATGAGCCTTCCAGAAGCAGCTGGGATTGCTTAGTTAGAAAGCAAACGTATTTCATATGAAAAGATTAAAATCTTACTTGTCATACAACACGATATCTGGAATCCAAATAGAATCTGATGGGACACGAATAGATGTTATTCCAGCATAGTCTTCAGGATTCCACCTTAATTTTACATCTATCCATTCCTGGGGATACGAGAGATGTAAAAATCATTATTATTGTGAAACTAAGCAGAGCAAGACTGGATGAAAAAAGATAACAAGGGAATTAAAAAAACCCAAACAAATGGCTTCTAAAATTGGCATACAACAGCAAATTTCCTGACCAGACATCTATTTACCTCATCCAATATTGGCTTTGTTATAAGACTCGACAGTATTTCTGTACAGAACTTAGCATCTTAAAATCCTTTTTCAGAGCATGTGTACATAAGTAAGAGCTATCATAATGTATCAACAATTAAATTTGAAAAAAGTTTGTTCTGACTGAGTATCAATGACTTTGGAAGCTCATCAGAAGCAATTTAAACATTTTCATCATAAAAGATAAATCATGCTGCAACACATGTTGTTTCTATTTCTACCAGCAACACTAAAATAGCACCATTAAAAGCATAGTAGTGATTTGGTAATTTTATACTTGAACTCACGAGGAAAAATTCAAGTTTCTAATGATTCCCCATCACACAGAATTTTAAATGCATATTCAGGTCAGTTTCTATTTTATTTTAACTGCTTCAACTGCAACAAGTTCTGCAGAAACCATTAAGAGGGCACAAAGTGTTATCATTGATATATTGGCATCTCATACTTGCTGAGTAGTCTCAAAGTTTTCCAGAAAAGAAATAAAAACTTTGCCTGAAGTTACAGTTACTGGAAAAGAAGGAAATGGGAAGCAATGGGGGGGGGGGAAGTAAAAGAAGTAGCCCAAATGAAAATAATTTAGTAAGCTAGTAAGTATAATCAGGGTCTGCAAACATTTTTCTAAGTTAAATCAAGAATGATTTATGAGCAGGATTTCTCAAGTTAATAGTGGCCATTAAGTTTAGCACTGGATTTTGATTATTATAAAGCTCGAGGCTTTTTCTTGACCATAAACAAATATTCTTAGAAGAAAAAAAGTAGGTCTTCATATCAAGCATATACAACTTCAAACCTGAAATTCTTCAGTGATGTTTATCCAATAATCCACAGCAAAAAGATCTTAAAAATACTGTGCAGCAGACTACACAAACCCGTACTTTTCTTAGTATAGTTTTTGAAAGAAAATTTATCTACTGAAGCAGTAATTTCTATGGTTGGATACAAGCAACTTGATGTATTAAATGGCTGTGCAGTGCATTATCAGATTTCTTAAAATTAGATATTTTTTTTATTTACCTTTGTTTGTTTTAGTTTTTTAAGAGTTTTAAAACAATTAATCCTTTAAAACATTTCCAAGGACATTTTTAGATACTATGTAAAAAAAATCTGTGCAAAACATAAGTTTTTTTCATTATACAGTTAATTAGAAAAGTTTATTCCGACTTTTGACTTGCAGTTACTAAGCTTCAGAGTTCCTCATTGATATTTTACACATACCTGCTTCAACCAGACATTTGTTGTCATCAATTGATTTTTCTCATCCTATAAAAATAAAGCATATTTTATGAAAAAAAAATCTGCATAGTATGCTCATAGTAACTAGCTGCTTTAGTTCAGAGATCTGTAATTTAAAATACAAAATACACTTCTCAATGCATTCCAGTCACTGATAACTATGTTGATATGAGAACTGCTTAACTATATTTTATTTGACTGTATTTTATGCAGTCTTACTCTTTTTCTATGGAAACATAGAGGAACAGCCAACACATGGAAGAAAAACTCTGATGATAGCTATGAACAGTGCATTCAATTTGAAAAGGATATTCTGAAGTGAGTAAGTATCAGGGGGAAAAAATAATTTGGTTGATCTCTTTTACATCACAGGTAATGCCAAGAGATAATCTTCATTACTATGGAAGTGAAGTTGAAGGCTTAGAGGGGTTTTTATATTTTGCTCCTTAACGGTGGAGAGAAGAGCAGTATTAGCAAGTATTTCTGAATTTTACAGAAATTACATTGAAAAAGTTTAAAAATACATAGTTTTCCCACTGAATAAATAACTTAAAACATAATTCCCTACACTTAAGAATCACTCACTTTTTTTTCTAAAAATGCTACTAAACATAAGAGCCATTTGTCTTTCTAATCATTTCTTCATGCCCCCATCTACAATGCATGTTTTTATTATGCTGATAATTTCAGCTTTAGCATTTAAGATAAAATACGCACAATTATTTTACATGACATTATGTTCCAGAATTTTAAGAATTAGAGAAAAAAGTAAACGAACTTATTTACTATACGTACCACATCTACTAGCTGAGAGATCGCAAGGCCAAATTTTATTTTTATTGTGTCATTCAAGCGTTCCACTGGACGAACCCATCTTTGATAGTCTTCAAATAAATGTTTAAACAAACGATCTTCACTTTTAGCAATAAAAGAAGGTTCAGATACACCTATATAAAAAAAATAATTTATTAACATTTGTCTAAATGAAGTGCCCATCTGCATTCCTGTGCCAAAAGAGCTACAGCCATGTTAATGCAGAGTTAAATTTCTCATGTTATTCCCTTTTCTCTGGAAGCATGGCTGGGGTCTTGAAGAAGAATTTTACAAGATTACCTGGTTTTATTTACATCTCCATACCACTATCACACTTTCAAAATCTATGACTCAAGAACATTAAGATAATTATAGTAATAATAAAGGCAAAATGCACTTATATAATTCAGCCGGTGCCATATTACGGATTCCGTAATTACGGAAGTCATCTAAAATTGAAGGGTTATCTATGAGGGATTGAAGTTCTATCGTTCTAGAACAATGTTGTTTTAAAAACCTACATCTACACTATACAGGTCTCTAGTATACTGCAGAACTTGCACTCCAGTTCAAACCATTAGCCTCTTCATGTTTTATGCATTATTTATTTCAATGTTTGGTCACATCTGTGATGTATAAGCTTTGCAGTACTTGTAGAGCACTTTTTCCCTACAGTGTTTTGTATTTTAAACACGTGCCAATATATTTACCAGTCTATCCTCTACCTAGTCTAACGTTATATCAACTGGAAAGCACCTTTCTAGTTAAGTAATAGTATACATTCAGTTACTTCTTTTTCATAGTTCTCAAGGATTAATTTCAATGCCTAGGGACTGACTTATGACCTGAAACAGCCAAAAATCTTTGTATAGTACTGTAGACACAGAAACTGGAGGCAGAGAACAGCCTGGACTTTTCAGAAGAGATATGTAAGTTGTCCCAAGGTACCTCATCAAGCAATCACTGTCCTTTACCTTTGGGAATCCACAAAAATAAATAAGTTTTTTATTAATGTGGTCTCACTGAAATGTATCAGTAGAAACCTTGCTACCTACCCAAAATAAGGCAAAGTTTAAGGTCTCTCCATTATTAGAGCCCATGCAAAGAATTATTTACCCTAAATAACAAGAGAAGGACAAACTTGGGGAAGATAAGGAGACAGGGGAGGAAAAAAAGTCAAGATCAGTGTCTAGCTAAGTAACTCGATTAAGAACAGCTTTCAAAGGCAGCGTGAAAGACCAGAAGAAGGCCACAGCCTCAAGAAGCAGCACAAGCTACACACATCACCTTGAAAGGAATGGGTCCAAAACGGGTCCCCAATTCCCAGAGAAAAGTCAAAGCAACCACCGCAAGACATGAACATATGCTGTAGACAAAGATTTTTACTACTCACCGAAGAGATTTAGACTGACAGAAAATACTGGTGTAAAAAGGCCTAATAGTTATTATAGTCAGTTTAAGGGACAGAGTAAACCAAAGAAAGATGTTCACAATCATCTCTTTTAATGCAGATTTAAAATATTATGCCATTACATAAATGTATGGCACGACCTCTCGAGAAGCAATGTGTTCACTAACAGCATCCATCTAAAAAAAGATGTATCAGAAACAGAAAAGCACCAGAGAATGTCATAAACTGATTAAAACCAAGGACAGTCATCCATACAAAGAGAGATTTAAAAGATTAACATTATTTTGTTTGGAGAGGGAGTGACCGTAACAGAACTAGATAAAGTAGTGAAAGATACATGCAGAAAAAACACTGATGGCATTTAACCTCACTCATAAAAGAGGGTAAAGGAAACAAAAGCATCAATTAAAGGCAGTATAATCAATTTCTATTTGAAGTTCATTACCATCAACATTCGGTAAATCAGAGATTATTAGACACTGAAGTGGACTAAAAATTCAGAATTGCCTGGGAGTACTAAACTGTCCGTTACATCAGGTAGCATCATACTTGCATACGGTATCAGTTCTCATTTCAACACAAATTTTCAAATCTACCTCAGAATTTGATCAACAGTTTGATGGCTTGCATTCGTTGCAGAGACTTGGCTAACACCGTTTAAGCCATTAATTTAGGTGAACCTAAGCTAGTTCTATGTGACTACAGCCACTGCAGCCTAGACAACTAAGGCAATGCAAGTTTTCAATTTCCCTTCCATTCATCAACTCTTCTGACAGCAGTGGCTTTCTGCTGCGCTGCAAAAGGCTGCATTTAAAGATCCTTCCTTCAAAACACGCAAAGCACTGCAGAGCCCAACCACAAGAGAATTCCCTGCCTTCTGCACAGCAGGTTTGGGGCAGTTCAGTAGAACTATTGTTACGAATACTAACTGGATTTTCTCTATAATTTGATAGTAGGAGCAAAAGCGCAATGTAGCTTAAGGAACAGGATCAAAGTGAGAGCAGCAGGGCTCCTTTTCCCTCCAAATCTTTCCATATGCACTAACATGCTGCAGAATGGTCCTTTTTGCAGGCCTGTCATCGTTTTATCCCAGCTGGCAACTAGGACCACGTGTCCATTCACTCACTTCCCCACAAGCAGGATAGGGCAAAGAGGGAGAAAAGGTGAAAAAACCTCACGGGTTGAGATAAAAGCAGTTTAATAGAACAGTAATGGAACAGAAAATAATAAAGGTAACAGAATATACTAAATAAAGTGGTGCTATACAATCGCTCTCACCACCCGAGGATCAGTGGCCCACCCCATCCTGAGCAGTGATTGTGGATTCCTGCCGCCTGGCCAAATCCCCTTTCTATACTGAGCAGGACGTCTATGGTATGGAACATTCCTTTGGCCAGCTTGTCCTGTCTAGGCTCCCTTTCACCTCCTATAGGAAACTGAAAAATTCCTTGGCTTAATACAAACATCACTTAGCAACAACAGTATGGTTTATCAACATTGTTTTCATACTAAAGCCAAAACACAGCAGCTACCAGAAAGAAAATTAATTCTATCCCGGTTGAAACCAGGTTAAGGCCAAATCAGCATTTGGGTTTTAAGACAGTTTGTCCTTCCATTTCAAAACAAATCTACCTGTTTACAGTGTATTCCATTCATTCACAAACACTTAGCAACCTGTTATTCATACACAATTTAACATCTTTCCATTTCTAGACTGTTGACATGTGGGTTGTGTAACAGCAACAAACTGACGGGCAACTTGCATTGTACCACTGAGCATATCTCAGGGGGATACACGAAAATATGCAGGAGACTGAGAATTAATGCCAAAAAGGATCCAACTGTTACACACACAAGTCACCCTCACAGCTTATTAAGTTAAAATATATCTATTTTAATGGATACCTTAGCTTCAGTGTATCCTCATTAGCCAAGAAATTTTTATTTGTAACTATACATAGATTTGCTAGTCCTGCTTTTAACAGACATTCAAAAGAACGCTTCCTGAACACACAGCTTAATTTCTCTATTTCTATATCCCTATTTCCTGAATTATGAATGGGTTTGTGTATATTTCAGCCTAACATTACAAAAAATCAAGTATTTATGAATTAGCTTTAATTACATTTCCCTTTTACAGTTACAGCTCTCAACTGAATTTTTTGTACAGTTTGAGAATGACTATGCAGCTGGGTATTCTCTCTCCATTAATTGACCTTGAAGCAACGCAGAGGCAAAGTTGCACTTTCACCATTTCTGTGTTCCTGTAAGATGACCTCCTGTACAGCAACACAGCATCTTCAGGGTACATGCTGTTTCCCGATTAAGCTTCTCTTAAAACACAGTATCTTCTCTAAATGCTAAATGGGGGTATGTTCCTTTACCACTTCTATATACTTACAGAATTTTTTTCAAACATTTTACGCTCAGACCTAAGTATACTCACTAATTTATTAAGATGACTGTATTTACTAACAATATAGTTCAACTAATTTTTTACTTTTTTTTTTCTATCACAGAAATATCCCCACTTTTCCATATTCCTGAATTATTCTGTGTGATTAATAAACTGGGGCATACCGTCTATAAAAGGCAGCCTATAAGAAGGAGAACTCTGTGAGGAGGCTGGAGATGGTAACAATATATTACAAGTCAGCAAAAATAAAATAAATAGCCACCTCTATCTTTCCATATTTTATTTAATAAGACCACACAGCTCACTTGTTATACCGACTGCATGTGTTTAATTTATCTTTTCCTTGTGTCTGTATGCTTTTAAGATTATAATAAAGGGTGTAATTCTTAGTTAATTACTGGTGTTAGCACCATTAAGGAAAAAAACGTGAACTGGTGGCAAGCAGAAAAAAAAAAGTACAGAAGAGAGGAAAAGAAGATACAGTTACTGGCTTAAGGCACCAGACTGGCTATACTGGTTGGAGAAAAGCAGAAAGAGGTTAAATTGTACGACTAGCAAGATTAACAAACAAACAACCTGGAGTACAAGTCTCATACTAAATCAGATGGTAAGAGATTACGGAAGCACTCACCCCTGCTACTAGCTCACTGGACTAAAAAAACCCTTAGATTTGTAGCCTTTGAAGGACAATCCTAAGCAAGCTTGTATTTGTGTGGCTTTATTTTTGTTGAGGTCAGGTAACTTCTGTCATCTAAATCAAAGGTATGTTGCTCAGTGATAAATCCCCCCAAAGTTGTTTACTTTATAATTACATCTGAAACTCTCCTCTGCTCACTCCCTCTCAGTGTGATTCTGTGTTCAGCAAAAAACACCTAAATCACATGAGAAAATGCTGGGTGACCGGAATTTTAATTCAGCAAAAAGGAGACAAACATTTATGTACAAAGCAGACTAATGAATTTTTAACTTTGAAGTAGTTGGAGCTCACTTTTGACAAAATACTAAGTAGAAATTCTAATTAAACACTTGATCTTGGACACAATATTTAAAAACTCAGTCCTAAACATTTAACAAACTTCTCTCATTAAAGTACTTCGGAGGAGCTACTTAGAAAAGAGAAAGAAGTATTACATGGGGCTCAGATTCATGCATAGCATGACAAAACATGTACACGTCTATTCATTGTTAACATCCACAAGTCAATTTCACTAGTGCTGCTAACAGCAGGCTTTTTAAATGCTTCAAAATGCTTCAAATAAATTACAAAAACGTTATTCTTTTGTAAAATCTTTTTTCATTGTTTCTTACTGTACCACTATGGGATGAAATGTCTTAACATCTTAATATGATTTAGCAGCAGTGCTCTTTTTATAAAAATTACCGGGGAAATATTTAGTGTTACAGCTATACCTCATGTCTTTTTCATAAATTTTTGTTTGTTTTTAAATAAAAGAACCTCACAGTCCATGTTTCTCCAAAGAATAGACATTTTTTTAACTCTATGTTCCTCTGCACTTCCTTAGACAAAGTGTCTAAGAACCACATTGGGGTTGCAGGTATAACACTGGTCCTTATACTTTAAACAGTGTAGCTGAAAGCATTTTCTAATTAATATACTTGAGTGTTAATGATTTCAGGTTTTCTTTTGATTGCTACTTGGTGCGTTTTCAAAAGAGGTCCATGGGAGAAGGGAAAGGGTCCCTTTTTAGAAGCCTAGTGTTAAGGTGTAGATTCAGAAGTAATATATATTACTAATGCAGATTTATAATCACATACGACTATAATGAAAAAGAACACTCCTAAGGACAACAAACATGGCAAAATATTCATACTTCGTAGTTAACATTAGATTAACAGTGTGCTATCATAACATATAGATTGCTATCCACAAATCTAACTACTACAAAGTACAACTAATAGTTTGCCTATAAACCAGAGGTGAATGAATACAGTACACCTGCTTTCAGTACACTAGTATATTTATAATTATTAAGATGATCCTGTGACTTTTTTAAAAGTAATACATTTTACATTATTTATAACAAATGAAACCCTTTGAAGTCTAGAAACACAACGGTAACTGCTTAAAACTTACTCTAAAAATTGTTCAGTGACCATTTTGAGAGAGAAGAAAAAAGTCTTCCACCTTTCCTACAAATTACCTTATTTTACAGTGGGCATCAGTACTTTTACTCCTTAAAATTTACAATTTTTCTCCAAACAAATCCAGTGACACCACAATATTTTGGTAGCTGGTGACAATTCTAACTACAAGTCATATTCATATTGCAGCAAACAGGAAAAAGTAGAGCAACATTAACTACACAGATCTCAGTCTAAGCCTCCCTTTATATTTTAAAGGATCTCCCACCACTACTTCATTAGGCAGAAAGAATACATAAAATGGAAGTTTTGTTTCTGTACTGATTCCCCCCTCCCTTTAAAAGGGCTTACTTTTCCTTCTATGCTTTAGCAATTGCCAACAATTCAATCACTAAGTCAAGTGTTTAGTTAAGAGTAAACATTTAGAAAGATCAAAATCATCTTTACTAGAAGGTCTGTAAATTAAAGCAGGATTACTAACTCCATTCAATTTACTGAACAAAAGTCAGAAAGGCCAGCTACTACATTCTGTGCATTCAACAAGTGGGGGTTTTTTCCCCATTTAAAAAATTAAGGCATAGCCCATCACTACACCTACAAGCATGGAAAGGGTGGCTATTCTTGATCATTTCTTGTTGCTGGCTTTTTTTTGCAAATTTGGTTTGCTTTCTTTTGTTCAGAGGTTGTCTTGTGATTTCGAAGGTTGAGATATAAAAGTGACAGCCTTGTATTTCTATCAGTGTGTATTAATACATGCCTGGCAGTTGCTTGCTGCTGCAGGAACTTTTACGATTTTTCGTTTACTCCGAGGCTTTCAAGTTATTAGAGGGATTTCTGCATCTTCTCTTATGTAGCACATCAATCTGACAACTCATAGCAAAATAAAATGACGAATTGTGGACATGAAAACTATGAAGGATTTTAAACTGCAATATTGCTTAGCACTTACCACACTACCAATATGAACAGAGGTACAAGAGCTGCACACAGAAAGCAGGGAAGTTGTTTCTTACGTTCACCTCAAATTTAAAAGATTAAAGTCTCCAGCTTGATAACTGGAATGTTGAATTAAACTAATAACTTAGCATCAAGGGACAACTGTGGCCCATATTAATGTATGCACTTACAAGTTTGATTAAGAACAGCGTAATATACTGCTATGTAGTTTGTAACTAATCAAGAAATAGGTAAGATCAACTACAGATTGATGGTCAGTCTTTAGATCGAGAGCAAACTGGAGCACAAATCACTTCTTTCTGAATGTGTGCTACGGATTCTATTGTAAATACAATATGCCAAAGAGCTTCCAGAACTCTATAGTGAAGCTATTGTCAGCAGCCATCTACAGCGCTACCGTTACAGGTCTGTGGCACAGCACAGCACAGCACTTCCCTCAGAGTTCACTGCCACTCAGTTTTCAGCAGACAGAACCGTGATCTTTTTCCCTGTCCAGCAGCTGGGGCACAGGAAAAGGCCGCCTCATGTCAGGTTGCCTCAGGCTAAAAACTGTGGTCACTCTGAAGCCAGGGGGACTTTTTCTGTAACAGATCCAGGATTTTGACACCTCTCTTTATACCACTCCTAACCATTCCATCATTTTCATCAACTGTTGACCTGTCAGTAGGGACTGAAGATGGACTGTGAAGACAGCACCGAGAAATGCTGAATGCAAGCAACAAAAACCATGCATACAAGTGTGGATAGTGCAAAGAATAAAAGGAAGAACAAGCATGTAGAATCTTCAAAGTATTTTTTAAGTATTTGCTCATACAGATTTAGAGGGTATACATCATGGAAGTAAACACAAATCCATGATGTATGTAAATAAGACCTTTAGGCAAATAAGACACAGGCCTTGGGCTCTCACAAGCTGCCAGTGAAGCCCTGGGTGCTGCAGAAGTTGCACACTGGTGTTACCTTCTGCCACAGTAGCATTTTGCTCATGCAGCTCAATTCCAGTCTCAAATACACTGTAACATATGATCCTACAGCTCAAAGAAATCAGAAACTCTGCTGAAAAGCAAACACAGCATAGGAGATTTTAGAACACATACAATCATACAAAAATCAGGTTTTACCATTCTGAAAAGTGGGAAACTATGCAAGTACATGTTTCCGCAGTTCCTTCTACAAATCAACAAAGATATTTCTTCAAAAATTAATCCTCTCGTTTTTCTTCCTAAGAACATCTGAAGAAAGCACAAAATATTTTAAGAGAAAAATCCCAAGACACCCATACAAGCAGGAGGTTTGCAGCTTCCTGCTGGGCAGGCAGAAGGATCTGATCAGTCAAACCGAGTGGAAAATGTTTGGGGTGTATGAACTCCCAAGGAAACACTGTCACAGGTAGGCAGCATGGCACAGCAGTGCTGTAGGTGGTTGTTAATCTCCATTCAATTTGTGCATTTAAGTCTCCCTTAGTTAGTTAAAGAGTCAGAGCAAGGAACAACACTTAGAAAAACAGAATGCATTTTAGATTAGCACGTATTTTGTCTTGTCAAATCAGAGTTATCCAGCATAAAGGGTTAGTTCACCTCTGGACAGCTAACTAAAGGAACACAAAATCCAATTTCAAGCATTCTTAAAGTATCATAAAAACAGTCACATCTGTAATTTACTTTTATTCATTAAAATGATTACAACATGCAAAACAATAGCTCTAATTAGGATCATTTTAACTGTATGTACATGATACTCTGATTTAGATTATTATTTTCATTTGCCCTATATTTTAATAATAGGTAGCTATAATGTTTTACATCATCTTAATGGCAAATCTCATTTTAAGAGTGAACAGTTATATAGAAAAGAAAATTTTGTCCCCACTATATACAACCAGTTCTCAATGAAGTCAAAATGGCTGGTTTGTGCCAAAAGGCAGAATTCGGCTTAACCTGACTGCAATTCCATACAGTCACATATACCATATAACGTAACATAATTTCACACAGTAGTATCTTCTGCCGTGATGAAAACCACTGCTCTTCCAAATATGGAGACGAAGAATAATCTTTTAAATCACACTTTGCATTAACAGACTGAGTTTCTACATATTGAATTAATACCAAGACATAGATACCATTTACTTTCCTTAAACCACACTTATAACCATTTTTTCAATTTTGGGCTAATATTAAAAGAGACAATTTTATTTTTCTGCTTGTAAATACTGCAGTTATGACTTCAAAACGTTTTTGCAAAACTCTTAGCAATGTACCCATAAATTATGTAAAAGCAATGCTCTGAACTAACTATTTCTAAACAATTCTTTGAAGGAGCATTAGTTTTACTCCTTTAATCTTTGTGTAATTCTATAAACACTTTAGCTTCACATGCTATTTTACATCATTCAACTCTGAAAGTTACATCCTGATTGAATTAGAAGACCGAGTCTTTTGAAGTCAAAGAAATAATGCATGACCAAACTAAGAAGAATTTTGTTATAAAATATTAAGAGGGACATTTTTATGTGCAGATGCATATTGGATATTGCAATTATTAAAATATATTCTGTAAATTTACCTCCCTACCAGCTGCAAAGAGCATGCACCACCAATCTGCAATTGCACCTCGTCTGAATAAGCGAACGGAACAAAAATTGAAAGCTACCACACTTCAAAGTGTTATATATTCATTTAAAAAGCGTAACAACTGCGTAATGAAGTGTGTGTTAGTCAAGACCAATTCGCACCCGAAGAGCCGGTGGCAAAGGCAATTTTCCCCTCATCCGTGCCAGGGGCAGCCCTGGGGAGCCCGTTTGACCACGGGCTCGGTACCTCACGTTGATTTTTTTTTTTTTTTTTTTTCGAAGTCCTGCAATCCCTACCTCAGCACTCCTCTCGACCGCCAGAACCCCGCTTCACCTTCAGATTAGCCTTATTTTACCGTCCTCTTGGCAAAAGTTGATGGCGGGGGAAACGAAGCGTGATGCGGGGCCACCTCAACCCCGGTGGCGTTTTCACCACCACCCCCCTACCCCGCAAATAACCCGCCTCGTTTTACCACACGAAACGCTCTCCTGCCACCCCCAGCTGCCCGGCAGACCCCCTGGGCTCCCCGACAACCTTCCCGCTTCCCCCGGCGGCGAGCCCCGCCACCCACCCCTCCTCAGCGGCCCCGGCGGGGCGCCCCCGCCGGCCCTCACCCGCACGGGGCCGCCCCCCGGGGTGCCTTACCCGCGTAAGAGGAGCGGGCGGTGGAGCCGGCTCGGGGCTGGCCGAGAAAGGGCGCGAAGAGGCAGGTGAGGAGGAGGAAGGGGCGGCCGCAGCGCTGCCAAGCTCGGAGCTCGGCCATGGCTGGGGCACGGCCCCCCTTGCTGCTTGAGCCCCGCGGCGCGGACGGGGCGCAGGGACCGGGCGGCGCTGGCCACGCCCCGCCGGGCAGCCGT